GCAGCTATAGCTTCTGAGTGTAAATATCTGTAAATCACATGCTATCATGCCGGAGGAGGTCTAATGTTTAAAATATAAGCGCTGCAATCAAGGAGAACTTTGCAGTTTACACAAGGAGGGATTTATTACATTGCCAATGGTGTTAAGAAAGAGCAACATTAAATGGAGTTGGCAAGCATCAGTAACTTTGCAATCAGAGGCACTTGCGTGAGTATTGTTTGAAGTGATAAACTATGAGTGTGACTAATTAATTTCCTTTCAACCATTCAACCAACTCTAAATAAATTCTATATTTGAAAGATATCATTTTCAATTTATTCCACGAGGTGTTGTGGTTATGAAGAAAAAGATCACAAAGTCCAGTAAGAAGCCCAAAGCTCTCTGAGGATGATGCAGCACTACACAAATAACAATATTCCAATTTCCTCTAAGTGATTGCCCACTCGTGCCGACACGCCAGTAGTTTACAGACTCATAAAATCCTAAGTACCTAATTTTTGCATATGGCAATTTAAAATGTTACACTCTCTGTCCAACCCTTTCACTGTCCAATTACAACCACGGAAACGTTAGCGGAAGAAAAAGACAAGATCCCAACAGAAATGTGTGGATTTTAGGAGACTGTATGAAAATGATTGCGGTGGCGAGGAGAGCTAAATCATACTTGTTTTTGTTAAAATAAAATACACAATCCTGACTAACTCATTTGCAAAATGTTATGAAGGAAACATAATGCCAACTGGATTAGATATCAACATAATGACAACATTTTGTTAATAAATGTGTGTGAAAAGTCTTTGCTGTACGTCTGCTTTGCTCTTTCTTTTTTTACAAATACTTTTTTATTGAGCCAAAAAAACATTCAGCCACCAAATGAGTGAAACGGGCCCAGGTAGCGGCGCTCTTGGTGCTTTATGGACTTGAGCAATATTTTCGCAACCAAATCTTATTGTTGGATGAGAAAAAGTTGAAACATCCTCCCTTTATCTCCGGACATATACAGTATAGACCACCCCTGAAAAATGAACAAACCTCCCCCTCTTCTGACCCCCCTCGCCCTGATAACAATTTTCCTACAGTCCCTAAATCCTAAAATGCATAAAGATCGAACTGTAACCAGCTCTTCGTCGCAGCCATCACACCAACAGTGTATTTATTATTAATCCCCATGATGTGAACACGCTACATGCCATGTATTTCTCGGGCTTGAAGATGCTTTAAAATATTCTGTTTTGATGTGAGTTTCACTACTTTGAGAGTTTAAATATTTTGGTGTGAGACAGATTAGCAGACCACAGCATGACTCTTTCTGTTTCTGCACCTCAACTGAATAACAACACAGCAGGGCATCTGTGACTTCTGAGTTTAATAACGCATAAACGTACACGCTGTCCCATCACGTTTTATAAGGAAATTGTGTTTTATTTTTGCTGACAGACATTAAAAAGAAAAGAAAATGGTGTAAGAACATGATGCTTCAAAGCTTGTGTTCTTGTTCATCTCTATGCAAGCCACCGCTGTCTCCACGGCAGTTAATAGCTGTGCTATATTGACACTGTCCGCACATAGGTTTTATCTCACAAAATTTTGACTTAATCTCCGAGTTTAAAATGAATCGGGTTGATGGCTGCACAATCCCTCCATGCTGTGAAGGACAAGCCTTCTGTTTTGTTCTGCTCCAGTCTTCCTTCTTTACTCTGGTTTATTTTGTGGTCATTCAGTCACAAGCATACAAGAAATGATTGATCAGACAAAGACATGTCTTGTGCACTGATGAAGATTGTGACCCGTAAATATTATGGATGTCAAGTTCCTCAAGAATTACCGGTGAAAGGTAGTGTCAGGTTGTCAGGTTTCATTATATTGTTTCTTGGTGTCACACTGACACTTGTTTTGTCCATTTTTCAGTCTGTGTAAATCCTGTCCTGCAGATAAGCATCGATGAAAGATCACGCTCCCACAGCTCTTGATTAAAACGTTACATTGCTGAGGTGAAACGGTAACATGTATGATGGTAAAATGACATAACCACATAGATTTCGCTCTAATGCGAATGTGTTTATACAAACTAATAATAGTCCGTGCTTACCCAGGAGTCAGGGGAAAACACACGTTCACACATAAAGGTTGAACGGGTCAGACATATGTTCTAAACGTGGCTTAGCGTGTGATTGTTAGCGATGCAATGTGACAGCCAGCAGAGGTTCAATTCTCCGCTGTGCTTCAGCTTCGTCAGCTGCAGAACAAACAACTTGAAACCTTACCAAAGCCTCAGCACGTGTTTTCTTGTAGTTCCTCTCCCATTTATTACATTGCATGTGCAGAGAGATAAAAGCAACATGGAGAAATAAAATGTCAAGATATCATACTGTATGTATTCCTTTTTTCTCTGACCTTTCAGAAGTTATGAAGTATACCAGCCCATTTCAGAAATGCTGTTGTGCATAAGATATTGCAACCGGATAGCAAATCTAAAACACAACAGCAGCAACGCATAAAATATGAAGAGACTGGGAGTGCAACAAGTACCACAGCTCAATCGATGCAAGATGTTTTGTAAGTGTTTTAAAGAATGATTTGTTAAGATTGAATGAATCAGCAGTGGCTGAAAGTAGCCTTTTTATTTAGTTTGATCACTTATAAATCAAACATGCATCATCATCACTCCATCCTGATGCAAGACCCCAACATGAAGCCCACTTTAAATTGTCTGCACTCTGTTTTCCCTGCCATGAATTTGATGGGTTCGGTTAGGCAGCGTAATGCTTCCCAAGGTTTCCATTGGGCTGATGAGTGATGCGAGTAATCATACTGCCTGTACGAATCGTGGATGATTGTCCCCCAGGGGAGAACATAAACACCACAACAGCAACAGCAGCATTCTGTCCGTGTCGTCTTTTATACTGTACGTCCAGATCCATTTCTCTCTCTTTTACAACACATTTTGACCACATCTCAAAATTGAGTACAGAGAAAGATAGAGAACAACAGAGAGAATTGCTCATCATGTACACTCAGTCTTCTGCCATTACAGAGAGCACCATACCCTGCACTACATTATAGTATTTTTAGCCCTCTTCTTTAGAGGGATAGATAGCCGTCTAATCTAAACCTGTATGTCATCACACCTCCTGCAGCAGTAGCAGGTGTCATATATTGTTCTCCCACACAGCTGTAACTGAGATTCAGCAGAATTTACTTCCTGAACTGCTGTGTAAGTCATTTCATGCCAGCGGGGCGTGCCATAGTCCCATTGTTGTTGAGATGGAGCAATTGTGATCAGTGCTTCAGTGTCAGAGTTGTAGGTAGTATACGGGCAAGATAACCGTCGAGACCAGAATGTACTTCTGAGCCCTCTGGAGGTGTCGTGGGCTGAATTCAATATGTGAAGGGAGTTGTCTGTATAACAACCCATGCAACCTCTCCACCCCCACCGCCCCCCTTCCTTCATCTCACACTCTCTCAAAGCCACTCACCCTTAGATATCTGTTACATCAGATCTGTTTTTTTTTTTTGTAAACCTTAGACTTTGTGTAACAGAAAAGCGTATAGCTCTTTCATCATACCGACATTTTAAACTCAAATTGATGTCTTGTTATCCTTGTCTGATTCCATCTGGAGAGAATTCAAATTTTGATCTCAAGTTGTCGTCAGATAAAAAAGTTGGGGGAGCACAAAAGTGATTAGGATACATCGTCTGGGAACAACGATTGTTTGTTGAGATATTTCAAACTGGACAAAAGTGGCGGTCAATGGTTGAAAAATCACCAACTGACACCCGTAGATCCATGCCGCTCGCATGGCTAAAAGCTCCTCATGTTGGCCCATCTGTAGATGGCCAGAAGTCTAAACAGAAGCTGCAAACAAACATCCCTCATTAATGAAAGACAAATGAGCTCACTGAACTCCTAAAATGAGCCCGATCATTTTAATTACTGCTCTTCATCTTATGAAGACACGTGTGATCTATCTTTAGAAGGAACAGTAAAGGAGAGGCATCAGAGCTTTTGTTCAGCATGCCGGCCCTAGAACTCTCACTGTCCCTCTGATGGCGTTTGCTTGAAGGCGGATTTTGTAAAGGTCACTTTGTAGAGTGCATAAAGACTGGCACAGCTATGAACACTACAGACACAGCCACGGGAGGATTTTGATCTGGCTGTGTTCAAATAAACAATTACCCCTGAGAGGCACTCTCAAACAGACTGCACACTATGTGCATTCGGCAATTTCAGCAGACACACGATCAGCTGCATGTTCCTAATGGCTTGTGAAGTTCTCAGTAATGGGCTACAGACAGCTACAGATAAATGAGCGTTTTGATGGAAATTGTGAAAAAGACATCTGTTTGGCCTTAAAAGTCAAACATCTGCGTAATTATGGATTTAGGTGACATGGTGACAGCTGAGCAGGTCAATCAGAGTGCTCAATTGGAAATAAACATTGATTGCTTGCACAAATGTATTGACACAAAAAACAGACTAACAGACCAACACAATTTAGCAGGCAGCAAATGTAAAAGATAACGAGACAATTTGCAGGATTCACTTCAAAATCCACACACTTATATTGCTGCTATAGGCTATCAAAACCATCTTAAATATTTAATCAGCCGAGCTACTGACAAGTACTTACATCACTCTTGTGGTTTAGTAAGGTCATTCAATATACAGAACAGTCAGTCCTCTAATTGAGCACCCGTAACACAAGCCTCAGGCCATGGTGAGTGGGAGTACCAGTACCTGAGGGTTGAAGGCAGGCAGCGATATGGCTCAACAAAGCGTTTCTCAATGAGCTGCAACAATGAGAGGTGTTCGGATTGGATTTGACTGGCATTGTTTGATCAGCTGCTGTGTGCCACGGCAAACAATAGGCATCCTTATTGGATACAAGTCGATAAGGATGCAGTGCGATGAAGTATTATTACATGCTGGAGCTAATTAAAGCACTTTGGCAAATGTTATCCCTTTGGGCAGGGTATGCATTGCGCAGGAAAACACTTCTTGCTTTGTGCACCAGTGCGCTTTGTCAAAGGGAACGTGCAGGGACGCACAGCGAGAGAGAGAGAGAGAGAGAGAGAGAGAGAGAGACCGCGCGCGAGCTAATCTGCTCTGTGCGCCTCATTACTAATTTGCCGTTCAGTTCTCGTGCGCTCCTGTGTACCTGCTCTGGAAATCTGTGACTTCTCCATGCGCCACAATCTCACCTGGACTTCTTTAGAAATGGATCTTCCTTCTAACGCTTTTAGTGATTTTAACGACTCGGTCTCCATAACTCCTCTCAATGTTACGTTCACCGAGGATCCGCTGCGCGTGTCCTCGAACAGCAACGACACCGACAAGTCTGCAGCCAGGGACACTACAAGTCTCATCATCGCCGTTTGTATCACGGCTCTCTACTCTCTCATCTGTGTGGTGGGACTGCTTGGAAACGTACTTGTAATGTACGGGGTGGTCAGGTAAGAAATAAATCATAAACTATTTAAAAGACTAAAGACTATAGTGGTGTTTTTAAACAATGTAAAATGTCAGAAAAAACTGTCGGCAATTTATGATGGTCCTTTGTATTTGCCCACAGTTTCAGTGTTCCGCTCTCTCACACACCCACTCACAAACACACACACACACACACACACACACACACACACGAGGGGGGTGGGGGTGCAATTAGTACCACAGCGACGACTGTAGTACTAATTAATGTATTGCAGATTCTGAGGATTCAAGTCATGTAGATGTGTCGTTGACCTAATGCATCTTAAATAACAAAGCAATATATAATATATATATATATATATATATATATATATATATATATATATATATATCTTCCCTCCTTTTAGAGCGTGTTGCTGCAGTTTAATTCAATAGGACCTACAGTCATATTGTGGACTAATGTGGATGAATCAATCTTTAAAACAGCTCAGATGCTCAGATGGCATTCAGAACTGAAAAGGAAGAAAAAAAAACAATCTCCTCTGTAAATCTGAAATAAAGGAGGAGTTTAAGAGGAGTTTTCAGCAGGAGTAAACTTGTTTTAAATGTCAAACAAAGTCACAGGACAGTATGTCATTAAAATGCATGTTGTTTCGTGAGGCTTGGATCTCTGTTCCTGTCTCCAGCTCCTGCTCACTTTCCCCAGGCCATGTACCCTCCTCTCAGTCCCCGGTCCTGCCATCCTCTAACTATCCAGTAGATGCCCTCAGACTCTCTTGCAGTCATGTTCACCTAACATCCTCTCCCCGCTAGACACATGTTTCCATTTGTTGGATTTCATGCCCACAACCTCACCTGCATTTCATTCACTCGCCAGCCACTCGCCACATAAGCTCACGCACCTTTGGTCCTTGTCAGATCAACAGCATGCCAATGCAGCTTCTTCTTTACTGCCTGTTTACCTGCTATCCTGCCTGCCGGTTACCTGTGTGTCAGACTGCTATTTTGACTTTTGATCACTGTCAGCTTAAGTAACAAAAAGTCATTTCATAGTATCTCAAAAAAGGTCATGAAAAGTAAAAATATAAAATGTCAAAAAATGCAATAAAAAGTCATAGTCAGAATACAGTATGTCGCAAAATGTCATAAAAATTTAAATATAGAATGTTAAATTAAATAAATATAAAGTCATTATATAGTATGTCCAAAACAAGTCATAGTATAATATGTCCCAAAAAGTCCTAAAAAGCTAAAATAAAGTATTTCGGAAAAAGTTTTTAAAAAGTCATACTAGTATGTCAAAAAAGTCATAAAAAGTAAAAAAAAAAGTCATGTATGTCAAAAGAAGTCATAGTATAAATAGTATGTCGGAAAATGTCATAAAAAGTAAATACTATGAAAAGTCATAGTGTCGAAAAAGCCATGAAAAGTACAAAAAAAAGAATCTTGAAAAAAGTCATAGCGTAGTGTGTCGAAAAAAGTCATAAAAAGTCATAATATAGTGTGTCAAAAAAAAATCATAGTATAGTATGTTGAAAAAGGTCAAAATATGGATGTCGAAAAAACTCACTGTGTATAGTGTGTGGAAAAAAGTCATAAAAACGTCAATCTATATTATGTCATCAAACTGTAAAAATGATGTGCAGTTTTATAGAGGCTTACATTCACTTCGGCCATGTGCCTTTAGTGTTGTGCCACAGAAACATTATGCGTTTAAATGTACTTTTTATTTTTAGTTCGATATGTTTATGGCGTAAATGGGCGATCATTGGTTTTAGAGCGGAAACACATCAGATTAAACAGTAAATGGGTTTCTCACTTTGAAACGTTATATTGATAGTCATTCATACTCAGCATCTTCTTTGTGACGCAGCAGAAGGCAACAACAGCTTGACTGTGAGTCAGAGTCAGTTAAAAGTTCTCCATGCTATTCCTCTAACCAACCAGGTACACCAAGATGAAGACCGCCACCAACATCTACATCTTCAACCTGGCTCTCGCTGACGCTCTCGCCACCAGCACCCTCCCCTTCCAGAGTGCCAAGTACCTGATGAGCACATGGCCCTTTGGGGAGGTACTGTGTAAAGTGGTCATCGCCATCGACTACTACAACATGTTCACCAGCATCTTCACGCTCACCATGATGAGCGTGGACCGCTACATCGCCGTTTGTCATCCGGTGAGAGCCCTGGACTTCCGCACTCCTGCCAAAGCCAAGCTCATCAACGTCTGCATCTGGATCCTCTCCTCCGCCATCGGAGTCCCCGTGATGATCATGGCTGTTACCAAGGTGACGGATACAGGTGGGAGATTTCTATTGTTGAAGAAAAAAAATCTGAAAATGACCATCACTTTGCAAAAACTTCACTTCTCAGCACAAGCCTTTTAGCTACTTTAGTGGCAAGTGTTGATTTCAGGGAGTGATCGGGCCGTAAAAGAGAACATTTGAGCTGGGTTATTAACTTGAATTAGCTTCTCCACATGGCCCGCTATTAAAATTCTAATTGTTTTAACTCCTCTAGGAAACACTTCTTGTGAACTCAGATTCCCCAAACCTGAGTGGTACTGGGACACAGTGATGAAAATCTGCGTGTTCATTTTTGCCTTTGTGGTTCCCGTCCTGGTCATCACCATCTGCTATGGTCTGATGATCCTGCGCCTCAAGAGTGTCCGTCTGCTCTCCGGCTCCAAAGAGAAGGACAGGAACATGCGACGGATCACCCGCATGGTCCTAGTGGTCGTGGCGGCCTTCATCGTCTGCTGGACTCCCATCCACATCTTCATCATTGTCAAGACCATGGTGAATATTGACCGCAAGAACCTCCTGGTGGTGGCCAGCTGGCATCTGTGCATCGCATTGGGATACACCAACAGCAGTCTCAACCCCGTGCTGTACGCCTTCTTGGATGAGAACTTCAAAAGGTGCTTCAGGGATTTCTGCCTGCCCTATCGCTCTGGCCTGGAGCAGAGCAGCTTCTCCAGAGCGCGTAACAGCACAAAGGAGCCTGTGTCTGTTTGTGCTCCTGCGACGACACAGAGACCACCGGCCTGACTAGGCATGGATCAGTGGGGGGGGGAGCAAGTTCAGGATGACCTCCAGACTGAGGACACACAGTTCTCCACCACAGGAGTCTGAGTCAGCAGATGTAGGCTTTTGACCAGCTATTATTGTAAATTATCGGTTGTGTTTTTGGTCTCATATAATGAAGCTTGTGAGACACAATTCTCTACGGATTGTCGTTCACAATGAGCACAAACATGCTTGTGTGTGTGCCTCTGCATAAGGATACGACTGCACACCTGTGGAGTGTGTATGAAGCACATGCATAATGCAACCCTATGAACAAACACACTTACAGTGCAGTCAGAAAGTATTGGTATAGTGGTGTGTTTTTCATTGTTTTGTCTGCACAATAATAAATAGGTGGTTAAAGTGCAGACTCTAAGCTTTAAGGCTGTTTGTAGGTCTTCACAAAATGATTGTATTGTCAGGCAGGACATAGATGGTAAACACACAGAGAAGGCCACCAAGAGGAATCTTTTCATGGCCAAACTGTGGCAAATGTATAATTGGCCGAGTCAGTCATGTGACCCCAATCCAAGAGCTCATGTGTTTCACTTGATGAAGACCAGACTGACTCCAAAAATTCCCTGTAGCAGCAAGAAGGATCAACAGGGAAGATACAGCTATCTGCTGTAGTGTGTGGGTCTCAGACTTTATCGTCAGCTCAATATCACAGATGATGACTTTGTGAAGAGTTTTGTTAGCTTGTAAAATTATTGTCTAGTCCCTAAAATTGTGGTACCATATAAAGGACGACAATAAGTTGATGTAACACCTTCAAATTAAACCTCTAACTGCTTTTCTGATCACTTGTGGGCAGAGGAAATAACCGTAAACATTGACATATAATCACCTTTAATTTGTATGACAGACAGTTCCTATTTACACATTTAGCCGTTACAGAGCAACACTGTCATACATTTTAAGTCTGTTTCTGGCTACTCGAAATAGGATAGTTGTATCCACTCTTCTTTTATCTGCGTTGGTCTATGCTACACTATGTTCACTTGCTAGTCGCTAACGGTGTCTTTCTGCTGTTTGGTGTTGTGTACAGTCACGTTTTGGTGAGAGTGAAAGTTATGGGCCCGAACACCAAAACAATAAACTGAAAGACGCGAAGAGAACTAATTACAGACGAAAGCCACACGCACAATCAAGAACAATCTTAAAGGAGGTTAATGAATGCTTATTACCATAGAGTCATGTTTCAGTGTCATTTTTTCCAAGTATCCCTCCGATACTTCATGACAGATCTTTGTGATAGACGCCTTTAATGACATGAAAATGCGGCCTACATGATTAAGCAGAGATGACTGAGGCTTCCAGCGTTTATTCACCATGAACATCAGTGTTCAGCTGACTCATTGTACTCCTCTAGCTGTTAGGCTGCTCTGTTTTCTGTTTCAACTGAGGCACTGAAGGGGAATGTCGCACTGCTGTTTCAACTCATAGTTGTGACTGAATGACCTCAAACTGGCATTGAGGCCAGTCTGAATCGTATCAAACGCATTAGCGAGGAACAAGAAGCCTCCTATACATATTACAGCTAATGGACAAGTTTCCACTGATGATCTTTGGACACACGCAGGATGAGATCAGAGCCGATGCCTCTCATCCTGCCACTGCAGCAATGCATATTTGTTTAAAGATGCATCTATTTATTAAGGATAAAGATAATATTGTTCTGTAACAGCATATTAAGTGGTAATGTGATTTGTTTTGTTTCAATGTGCTGTCAAGCTGTTGTATCATTAAGCTACACTTAATTAATTACTAAAATCAAATGTTATAGAGCCATGTATTTACACTAAGTGCTATAAATGTCAGGTGAAAGCGTGGAAGCTTCATGTCGCCTGTCACCATTGCTGTCGGTATATAGTTTGTAAATGTTTTCTGCAGTATGGTTGACAATATGATCAGCTGATTTTAAAATATGTACCGTAAAGCCTTATTCAGCATTATGTTCTTTTTGCAAAAAGTGAATTGTCTTGTTGAGGAAAATGCTTGATCTATAAATGTTTTCACATTTTGTGTTCCAGCAGATACAGTATATAAAGTACCGTATATTGTATAAGTGTAATAACTGTTTCAGTCTTTTGATAACATTTATACAATCGTCTTATGGAATAGCTTAAGTTGTATCTTGTAGGTGCTTTTTAAAGATATCGTTGTAAATAACTTTCAGTTTAAATCCACTATTTGGTTTTCTGTGCTTGTTACTACAGATGTTAACAGTTGAACTCTTTGTAAATGCAAGTGAAGCCTCTTGGGAGCGATGATGATGATGGGGCACAGGCACCTTTGACCTGGAAGCCCTTGTTGGTCAGAGGCAACAAGTCCCAGGTCCAAATAAGACACATCTTACGAAAGCACATTATGGAATAAGGCCGGGATGATATTGGAGTTTCTGGCGACCAGATACATTGGAGAATATACATAAATACACATACATGGAGAGTTAGCTAATTTCACAATGGATCAATAAAAAATACAGCTAGTAATATTGTATATTTCATGATTGTCAACAAATCCTTTGATTCATATCAATAATACTTTCTGACTTCCACAGCCTGCGGCTCTCAGCACCATGGCCATTGGTTCCTGAAGATGTCTATCTGAAAAAGAAACAACCCTTTTTTCAAAAGTTTGTTATTTTCTGAAAACAGATGTCCGCTGTAGTTTTTAAGGAAACTGTATTGAAACAAGAGTAAATGGCACATTTACTCTTGTTTCTCTTGTTTATTGATGACTCTAAATTGCCTGTAGGTGTGGAAGTGAGCGTGAATGGTTGTCTGTCTGTCTGTGTCGGCCCTGCGATAGTCTGGCAGCCTGTCCGGGCTGTACCCTGTCTTCGCCCAATGTCAGCTGGGATCGGCTCCAGTCCCCCTGTGACCCTTAAGTGGTTACGGATGATGGATAGAAGCAGCAGAGCAGTGTATGTGGACTAAAAATAAACTACAGTGCACATGTTCATTCTAACGAAGCAACATGTCATTTGTTGTCTTTTCACGCAATCTGTTGACAAGACAAATACAAGCCTTATCCTTTTAGCTGTTGCTAAAGCTACACAGGCCAAAGGCCCTGAGTGACACATATTCAGACTACCACCTTTATCCGTTTCTGTATCCTCATTTTTGAGGGAAAAAAAGGAATAAAATAAACCACTGTACTATTTTTTTTAAAGAATTAAGATTCTCATTGAATGTGGATTGTGTACTCTCGACTGCACGGGTCACACTGCAGTGCAAGTCAAGTGCAAAGATTAGTTAGCACTTAAATGACACACGCCAGTGAAGCCCACAGCAGATGTGTTGAAAATGACAAACTCATGTGGTGTTTTTGCATTTGTTATAACTGAAGATGTCTCAGAAAATGGAAACCTTGTTAAGAAGTCACCCTCAATTATCTTTCATATTCCTGTGGATGTTGAAGGACATCACCCAAATGATTTGAAAGAGAAACAGTCAGTTTCATATCTCAGAAGCTCCTATACAAAAAAAAACCCACATAGACTATTCAGACCCAGACATCATAGAACTCCCACCAGGACACCAACCAGATGGGGACATTGAAGATGTCCTGTGTGCTCCAGAGCATACAGTTTGTTCCCAATGAAATATACATGGCTCTGCCTATAGTTTTACTGCAGACAAATGAAACATTAACAAAATGAATAATTTAGTCAAACACCATAAGCTGGCTCCTGTCTTGGCTAGACTGCACACTGTTCTCTTTAAAGTGTGAATACGAACGTTTTATGCAACAGAGCAGTCAGTTCTATAACACTTACTATCATGTCTGAAAACTGTGTGACTTGGCCAGAAACAGCTCTGTTCTGGATTTTGAAGCCTAATGTTTCTTTTCTCTGAGCGCTTGATTGCAAATGCAACAGGTGTTGTGTTTGTGCACAGTTACACACAGAGAGAAGATAGACTCATTTCAGAGCAACACACAGATGATTAGATGCTCTCATACTGACCTTAAGTAATGGCACTCAAACAAAGAGAGGGAAAGAACAACAGAGAGGGAATCTAGCCCAAGCGTTCATAACAGTTAAAATACTTCTATTCCCTCGTTAGCATCAAAAGCTCAGAGCATCCAACAGCTTGTTTCCTGTTTCATCTGGCTGATTCTTGTTATGTGACTTCCCCTGCTCATTTGTCTGTGCGGGAGAAAAGATATCAACTGTAAGTGAGAGATTGGTTGCTTGGCCCTGATGGAACACAATTATCTTGTTTTGTAGCATGGATGAAAGTACTTGACTTGAGCGCCATTACAGCAAAAATATTGCAGCCACAAAAACCTTTCCACATTACAGATGTTCATGTGTCTCAACAGCAGACACCTATACCTATACGTAAGCGAGGCTATTCACACAACACAGCATCTTGGACTGACAACCTGTCAGTGCTGAGTGAAAAGCATTTAAACCCAAAACTAAAGAAGGAAAGAAAAGACACCTAAAAGAAGTAGCTATTTAGATGATGATTATGCTGAGATTCTGGTAATGGAAATGACAATTTGGTCCTGCTGCTTGGTGTGACAGAATCCTGCTGTGACACAGATAACATGGTTACTTGTGATGGTTGTTTACGAAATGCCAGAAGTGCAGAAGCTTTGAAGCAGTAGCAGTTTTACTGGATGTTTCACAAGGAGGCAGCTACTTTTGTTTCCCCTGCTGAGGGACAGTAACAGGGATTCAAACTGGGTGCCATCTGCCAGCTGAGAGTCATAGGGGCTGTATACTAATGATTGGGGTGCTGAACCTTATATTATATAGACTTAAAATGTATACAACTAGTTTAACTTATAAATAAAATTTTTTGGTTTATATATATATATATATATATATATATATATATATACACACACACACACACACACACCCACATCAACAAAGGTGATTTATGTGATCATACTTTACGTGGACCTCTGTGAGTAATTAGCACAGGATCAATATGACAGCGCCAGTAAATTACAAGATAATTCCATTAAACGAATGAGTCACACACCACGGCGATCATGAAAAGGGTTTGATAGCTGTTGTCATCTGATCAATGTAACAGACATGTAACCATGCATCAGATTAAGAGATTGGCCCACATGTTTACAAGCCCCTGCACATCTGTTGGTCCTCCGTGCAGCTCCTGAGAGGCCCTCAGCCCACTGGACAAAGAATCCAATCTATCAAAGCAATCTCTAGTAATTACAAATGTGGTCCTCAGGCGATGGAGTACCAGCAGCTTAACAGCAAGAGCGATGCTCGTTTGGTTTCCTGTGCAACACGCCCACAGAAATGCATATTTTCTCATTCTCCTATTAAACTTCAAAACAACGATTGTGCCATGGCAACAGTTGAGTATTTCACACATACAGTAGGCTACTTCATACATCTCTTAATGCACCAGTAACAGCCAGGGGCCATATACATGTCACCATATACAGACACACGGCAGGAAGTGTGACAGTATTGACATGAATAATTTGCTTGTTTTTCATGTTTTCACAAATGTTTCTAATAAAAGGTGCAGAGCAGCATTACTCAGATCTAACACTTGAGCCTCCATAGAGTGTATGCTAATTTCTACTGAGAAATTCAAGTTATTAAACAATAGGCAATATCTTACACATGTTTTATAATCTATACTGAATTTCTGTCAATTTAGGGAAGCAGCGATAGAATATTTACAAACAACAAGGCAGGTTGAACATAGTATTAAAATGATGTGTTATGTGTCTCGGTAGTAGAATTAAAGTAAAATTACAATGGCAAATACGCAAAAATATATAGATACACAAGTTGTTACTAAATATAGTAAATTAATATAAATGGTCTTCAATTTAAATTACAGGTTAATACAGTCAAGCTCTATTCATTTGTATATTACACCGCTTAGCAGTCCTTTTACAGACTTTAAACTAACTGCAAAATAAATATACATTTTTGTAAAAATATGTATATATAAATTAATATATACTAGATAATATATAATACAAGGATTTACAATATAACCAAGTGTTTCAGTTTGTGTACATAATATTTCATCATCATGAGAATTGTGTTAATCAACAGATATTCTAGTTTCAGTCACATTTAAGAAATCTAATTACATCATCAGAGAAAATGTGCCATAAACCATCTGGTGATTTTAAAGCCACTTTTATACTGTCCCAGTCATTCAATCAAAATCAATGACTTTTAAGTCGCCTTCTTCATATTTCTTAAACAAGACACATTTCTTATGTAAGGATGTACGTTTTTTTGTGGTTTAAGGCTGCATTCGCTTTCTCTCAATCCATCTGTTTTGATAAACAGGTTCCCACTGTGACGGACCACTGGATGAAAACAACCCTGAGCAAAGCTTCTCCAAAGCATTCAGATAATCACAAACTGTGGATTATTCTTTATTAAGACGTACTTGATAAACAGCACTCACAATTTGAAATGACAAGTTAATGAAGGAAGCAGCAGGGTGACTTAAGGGCTGCCACAGCCCAATCGTGACAAAGCTAAATGATGCAAAATGTGTTCTATTGTAAGATTATAATTGTGATAGCGCGATGCTGCAGCCAGTCACAAGCCCGTTACAGATGTCAAGTGTAAAGCACGCACAAAGAGTGTCGCCAGAACAAAAAAAGCTGATAAAAGCCTCGCGTACAGCTCGGAGTACGACAGACAATTGCGGTGAATAATGTGGCTCCGTCCATTACAAGGGTGAACGTGTGTCTGTTCCTAAGTCTCCTCGGTCTCCACTGTGATCAGTTTAACAAGAGGAAGATAGAATACACGTGGGCTCTTATAAGAGCCCACGTGTATTATGAAAAATCCCGTTATACTTTCTATGACTGAAAGGAATTAATCACAGGATGTCTTTGCTGAATTCATGTATGAATGTTTCTCTTCGTGCTGGATGAGAGGTTTTCCGTGTTTTAGGGCTTTATGAGACTTTCAATTCTCCACATGAACCTGTCAACAGATGTGAAAGATGGATGCTTTTAGCATCTTTTTCTTAAGGTAACATTTTTTTTCAAGAATTCAGATTTTTTTGTTTTGGAAGACTGGAAGTCCTCAAAGTGTGAACCAAAGGACAGAGATGCAACAGATGCATTGAATAGGTTAAAGAAATGTAACATGGTCTGGAGGTTTCTCAAAATAGTTTAAAACGATTGCTTAAAATGTAGGCACAATGAGTGACGGAAAGAAATGATGGATGCATGTCTTAAAACAAATTCTTACTAAATATGACATTGTGTATAGCAGTGTAGTATTTGCCTGAGGCTATTAACACCTTCACACTTTACATAACTGTCACTACAATATATAAAGAAAATAAAAGGCCGTTGTCTTCTTGGCAGAACATCTCACCATAAATGTGTAGCGCCCTTTCTCTGGTGTGATGAAGAAAGCTGCAATTCTTTTAATAGCCAGAACATTTGATGTTTTACACTAAAAAAGAAGAGTTAACATTGAATTGGCAGAACAGAAGCATTTGAAACGGTTAACAACAATCTCTCTTGCTTTTAAAACTCTTACAGCCGCTGTGCAACCATTACTGTTGAGCAGTGAGCCTGCACATGTATTTCTGACTAACAGTGGAGGAAAACAAACGGGGGAAGAGGTTCACTCAGACCAATTAACTGCTTATGAAAGATACTTCAGCATTTCAAAGCTTTTTGAGAAGCTTTCTGCCACAAGGGGTTTTTCAGGGCCTTTATACTTCATCATCCCTTTTGGTAATAGATGAAAGCAAGATGAGACGAGCAAGGACAATTTCACCCCAGATAAAACACAAAAAGCATGTAGCTTTGATGCATGTACTTGAGCCGTCATTTCCATCATTAAGTGTTTCTGATTTACATTAATGACTGTGTGTATGGAATGTGTTGTTGGCGTGCATTATAGACATAAAGTAGCTCGGGTGCAACTGCGCCAAAATGCTAGAAAGGAAACTTCTTAACCTCCGCCCACTAAGGTATTGCCAACACATTACGAGGCCATGTTGTCTTCCTCTACATTTTACTGCCAACTATTTTGTTGATTGATCAAGTCATTATTTTGTCTGTATGGACAAATGGTTAAAAATGTTCATCACAATTTCCCCGAACCAAAAGTGGCATTTTTGAAACGGTCTAAACTAAAAAGTGTATTAAGACAAAGATGAGCAACAAACACTGACATGGGAGAAACTCAAACCAGCAAATGTTTGATGTTTTTTGTGTGGAATTTAACTCAATCGATTATCAAAACGGCAACATTTGTGATGCCTTGGATAAGAAAGGGATTAAAATGTTATCTTTATTTTCAGACAGGAAAAGCAACAGAATGCAGGATGTACAGTATGACGCATTACCAAATGTCCAAATAGTCACAACAATTGCGTAGCCTCGGTAAAATGAACAGTAGTCTCACATAATAGACTCATTGAGTGTGAATGTCCTGCCTGAACCACGGTCTGTGGGATTATTGCTAAGAACAACATCATTAAAAAGACAAGTTGTTTGGGGAAGTCATTAAAAGGCTCGCACTCTCATTTCCTTTACGTACATGCAAACCATCACATTCACAAACATCTCAGTCATACTAATGACATTTAATGAAAATAATTCAAAGGGAACATCAAATACTCGATAAAAAAAATAATAATAAAAAAAAAAGAAAAAAGAATTGTCTCATTTGTCATGATCTATTGGACATCCATGAACATTTCGCTCACTAGGGAGCGAAGAGTTCATCAAAGGGCCCGAACCTCTCACACTCCCTCGGCTCAGGGCAGAAAGTCCCATCAACCCCCTCCCCAGATTTAGGCATCATGAAAAAAAGCCCCGCCTCCAAACATCAAAACACCCCCGTCTTTGATGGACATCAGCTCTCCTGCTTGTCTTTGACCAAAAGGGCTGTGTGCTGCCCTCCACTGGAGGCCATCAGTACTACACGGTTCTCCAGCTGCTTGCCGGTCATCTTCACGGGGCTCCACTCGTCGTCCTCCTCTCCTGTGCCGAGCTGCAGGTTGGTGCCCATGCCCCAGGCATACACCGACCCTGGAGGAAGCACAGCTAACAGTAAGTGGAATAAACATACTTCATTATCATCTTTTATTGGCTAGCGGTAGGAGATTCTCCATCTTCTGCTGCATTTGCTTCATTTCTCACCTTCTCTGGTGACGGCGTAGCTGACAGACGCCCCACATGTCAATCCACTGGCTGGCTCCATCCCGATCACTGGCGTGGGCTCACTCTTCTCTTCTGCCCCTTGGCCCAGACCAAGGCGGCCATATTCTGCTCTGCCCAGGCTATACACCTGTCCTAAAAGATGGAGAGAAAAGGGATCGATTTACTTATTTGTTTGTCAAAGTACTTTAGATTAAACCAGAGTTTTTACTCGTGTCGTTTGTGTTTTGATATACTGTAATGTATACCTGTAATTCTTGATATCTTGTATCTATTGCCTTGACCGGGTTTGGGTTATATTGTTGAATTACAGAAAAAGTAATCACTCTCAATATGAACAGACCTGAGTGGTGAAACATCAGTTCTATGTTACCTGTGCACTAAAAATCTGTCTTGATGGGATCACAAAATCTGATAAGCATACTTATATTTAATACAATGAGTTGGAACTTACCTTCAGCATCAAGGCAGAGTGTGTGGTGTTGTCCTCCAGAGAAATTCACCCAGTAGGTGGTGGAGTTTTTAAAGCATGACAGTTTTATTGGGACAAAACACATCTTGGTGTTTTTAGTGCCTGCATATAAAAAAAGTGCAATAATACATGAAACAAGCTCACAATGACGGATGCAATTACCTCAGAGCAGGAAGTGAGCAACTCACTCACAGTGAAGCAGTTAAAGTTGTAAAACAAATTTGATCAACCGACGTTCTCAAAGGACTAACCACTGATGTGCCATACTAACCCAGCTGGTGATAGTTGGAGAGACCAAACCCGTAAACAGGCCCCTCTTTTGACACAGCAAAGGTGAGGTATGCCCCACAGAAGGCATCTATGAAGTGAACTTTCCCTTTGATTTTTACCATTTGTGGTACCAGCAACCGGCCTGAAATCACAGGACATAGTCAGTCAGACCGCCACAGGAAAAATACACGAAACAGGAAAGAAATCATAAGTTGATGCTTTGTGCTTGCAGAAGCTTGTGTTACTCACTGAGGCCTTTCCTGCCTCCTCTGTCTGAGAAGTGCTCAGGCACTCTTCCCAGCTGCCCCTGCTCTGCAGTGCCTGATGTGTACAGATTCCCCGCCAGTGTAACCAGAACAAGGTGGTCGTTACCTATTAAAGTATTTAATTAAAATTAAACAGAAATAGTGTGTGCTGCATATTAACTTCTAACAAACAAAAACACGGCACTAAAGAGGGCTACTTCTTACCCGATGCAATTTTCACAACGGGTTCCGTCATGGGGACTTTGACTGGAGCGGTGCAGGTCTTCATGGGCTCCAGAAGACCTATAACACCATTGTTATCCTGGGGAAAAACAATGGCCAGCATGTTAATGGCTAAAACCCACAGATACACAGCTCAGGTTCAGGGTTATGAAAAGTATAGCAGTACCGCGCAGTAGAGCGGTAAATGGGACCTCTTTGGTCACCAACCTTCTAGGTTTGTTATGACATAAATGATACCTGATAATTAAAACTGGGAACATTGTTTCATCTACAGGTGACCAAATTCCCTCTTAGAGGCTTCCATCAACAACAGCGCTGGGTGAAGCAGCACACTTCCATTACCTAGTATTATTACCATTCTATTGTGAAATATGTCCCATATGTGAATATGTTGATGCCCATTAAGCAAAGCCAGAAATACCTTCTCTAATACAATAGTCCAATCACTATGCAGGTTTGCATTCAGACTGTGCTGACCGTAGTAAATGTATTGTGGTTTGTGTCCACAGATATCCGATGTTCATTTATGTGACAGTTGTTTGGTGTTCTTGAAGGCTAATCAAGCTAAACGAAAAGTAGTTCAAGAAACATTTGGTGGAGAAAGAGGAAACATCAAGTGGGAACGCAGATGGTAGGCAGAGGTAATAGAGATGTAATTGCCGTTGTGTCATCGAGTATTAATAATGAAAACCCATGTGCAACCTAGCGAGATGAAAGAGAGATGAAAACAATAAAGAATGCAAGACGAACGATCATCAAGCTATGTGTGAATGTCTTTACTTTTCTCTTTAAATGAGGAACAATGTGAAGCTACTTGTAATATGCTACAACGGTCAGAGATTTGGTCATGTAGCCACGAGAAGCTAAGATTACAGAACTCTGACAGATGGACATGGGAAAGCTCAGACTATGGAAATAACTTGTTACGCAGAGGCGGTTATGAAGTGATTATATCAAACAGGCATTACGATATTCTGTCATTTGCTCAAGTTCCAGTCAAGAGTAACCATGAACAGCTTCTAACGTCACTTTTATGTAGCAACAAACTTAAATTGGGCTGAAAGGAAAAGAGCCTGCCACTACACTACAATAACAATACAATACAATAAATAGGTTAAAAGAATCTGAATTTGGTATTAACGTTCTTGTCATTTCATCTGGAAACACTACAAATTGGTGAAATGCTCAAGTGAATTATTTGAGACTGCAAATACAGTACATTTGTGACATTCAGGTGTAAGTTGAACATGAGTACAGCACATTTCTACTAGTGCTCACACATTTTGTAGGAGAAGAGGATTTAAACAAGTTATAAAAGTCCCAACTTGATGTAGGGAAATCTCTCACTCACTCACTCACTCACTCACACTCACACACACACACACACGGCTGAAAGCAGCAAGTAACTAACCCTGAAGGAGCCCCATATGTACACTGTTCCATCCTCTGTGAGTGCAGCCGTGTGGCTGTCCCCTGCCGACACCTGGACCACCTTCTCCTCCAACGTCACCTTTCCTGGAACCATCTCAGACCCCTCCTCCGCTGTGTCCCGACCGAGGGCACCTTCGTCATTACAGCCAAAAGTGTAAACCTAAAAAAGAAGAAAGAAATAGTTTATCTGGGAAACTCAAGACGAGTTAAAATGTTAAAACACAGCCTTAGCATTAGCCATACAATAGACAGTTGCTTCCTTACATGGCCAGTCTCGCCGACACACACAGTGTGCATGCCTCCCGCAACCACTTGTACAATTTTCTCTGGCAGGGACAAGAGGGCTGGCTTTTTCCTCTCAATGGTGGTCTCTCCTAGGCCCAACTGGCCCACATCACCCTGGCCCAGAACAAGCACCTGACCCGCCTCCTTGCCATGACTCCTGTGGGAAACTGTTTATACAAATAAACAAAATGTCATATCAGTTGTTTAATTTGATCTTACATCTTATTAGCCTTACAAGGACAATCTTGACTGTGGCATGGAATAATAAATATGGGCAATTTGACATGAGGCAATTTGTTAAAACTGTGGTGCGACGTCCTTTTCTCTCATAAACATCTTAAGAGAACTTTGATTTGGTTCTTCAAGTTAGACATCTATGGTGTACATTTTATTTAAGTCTCATTGTCTAGTCCAGTTTCTTTTTTTTTTTTAAAGACGGTGATTTACCTTTCACTTTCTTGGGGTCTTTATCATCTTCAGCAATAGGCTCAGACTTCCTCTTGGTGGCAGTCTTTTTAGCAGGTGTGGCAGTCTTTTTAGCAGGCATGACAGCAACACGCAAGGACTTGGGGGAAAAACACAAGATTAAATCGGTATAATGATTTTCTATTGGTTAAAGTCACTGAGCTGTAGGTGAAAAAAACTCTAGATGAAAATGGTGTTTATCACAAGACATTGTATCACAATTACAAATGCAGAGCTTACTAGAGTTAGGTAGGTGTTGGTATCAACGTAGCAACAACTACACCTCTGATGTTAGACCGTATAAAGCAAAGATGAGCAGCAAAAATGCCTTAACTGCACATCCACTGATCACAAACACCACAAATGTGAAGTGAAGCGGTGGCTGCAAGCTGAAAGATATCAACTGGTATAAACTGTCACTTAAAGTGGCAAAATCCTTATCCTGGTGAAAACATGTCTGCACAAACAAAACGTTTAATCAGAGCTAATGCAATTAAATCTATCAAGAGAAAAGTAACATGAACCAACAATTGATTCAGTCATGTATCAAGCAAAAATGTTCCTTGCTGGTTCTAACAATTTTTCCTTTTTAAATCACTTTAAATTAAATACCCTTGGTGTTTTCAAATTTTGCTCGGGCAAAGCAAGTGCTTGGCTAACGCAATATTGGCATTTCTATAACTCACAAGCCTACTACTGGTAACCGCAATTGACCCACCATACACAATTGGTCCTTTATTTTGGTCCCAACATTAACCAGGAGGTGTTGGGCTTCAACAGCTGTCAGAAAGTCCCTTCAATGGCTGGCACAGTGTCAGATCATTTCACCCCACAGTTGTGCTTCCTCTACTTCTGCTCCCATGGTCTTGTGCAATGAGAGTCCACACAATACCTGCTACATGTTAAACTGGAGTCGAGCTTAGCTCTCAGTGACACCCATAGACTATGATAGCCACATCTAGAGAGTGCTGCCAGTGCTTTAACATTTAGCACAAGTTCTGAAAGAGCAGCGTGATCCAACACAGGCAGTAACTTAAGTTAACCATGTGTCCTTGCTAACATTTAGATGGCTAAATTACCGAGCTGTAGCCTACATGGCTGAGCTTCTGCCCTCTTGGTTATAAATACACATGACACAGTCGGTTACGAATACAGTTAGAATATAGGATGCAAGAGTCAAGTTTTCCACCAGGTAGAGAATCTCAGTTGGCATTACAGCATGCTAACTATAGCTAACTAGTCTACATGGCAAAGCAAACGTTCAGAGCTATGTGCTAGCTGGCGCGAGCTCGTTAGCACCGTTAGCAGGACGTTCTAGGATGAATGAACATAGTTTATTAACAGCGTAACGTTATCCATTGCTTAAGTAGTGTTTATTATTGGTGGTCTTTTCCAACTAGACAATTTAAGAGCTGATACTTTACTAACCTGTGATGTGTAACGTTAGTAGTTTGAAGTTTTTAGTTTGCCTATAAGTGAACGTGCGCAGCCTGTTCCCGGTCTAGAGTTGGACACGCACGACGTCACGTTGTGGAACCCCTGGCTCCTTAAAGAGACAGTACCACTCAAATCTGTAGTGGTGGAATCAAAATGTAGTGAGTGAAATCAAGTAGGTAACTTTTATAAACAATCATAAAAGTAAAAGTACTGCTTATGCAGGAGAATGTCCCCTGTTTTCACCATCATCCGTTTTGTATATCTTTTATGAAATGTATAATCCTTATTTTGAAGTAATGTTGTGTTCTATTAACATATATTAGGTTTAGAGAATATGGTCTAGTTTTAGTTCAGACATTGTTCACAGATAGATTTTTGTATTCTAGTTCATGTCTATCACTATAAACAAAACAGTCCTTTTTATGGTCAATTCAATGTGACGTTATGTCTCTGATAATCTGTGCATTTTTCCCAAACCATACATATTTAATGAATATTTTTCCTGTTTGTGTATTTCTTTTGCATGATCACCCAGTATGTGCCATGTGTTTTGTGATGCAATCTGATGTTTGTTTTTTTTCTGAATTTTTTTATTTAATCCATATGCTAGTGTTGTTTTGCAATCTGTACATATATTTTATATTCTTTTGTCAATATCTGGCCTTTATTTTACTGCTACAACAGTGCAACTTCCTAACCTTGCAGCATCACCTCATCACGAGATCTCTAACAAGATTTTGCCTTCACCGTTAACAGAATATACTGCATAAAGCCTTTATGATGTACAATCTAGAAAACCATATGCATTCCAAGTTTCCCATTCATTAAGCACGAGGCATCTAAAACTATCTCCAGGTTTCGCTCCTCAGACTCAGTCAAACGTACCGTACCATACCACAAGGTGTCGCTGCAGCCTTATATTTTCATTTTAGAGGTTCCCCCTAGCTCTGTGATAATCTGGTGACACAGGTGTACCCTGCCTTCTTCCAATGTAATTTGTGGTTCGGCTAAAAAATAATGGATTGATGAGAAATGCCTCTAAAAAAAAAAAAAGACGAACACACCAAAAAGTAAGACTGGTCAATTAATTAAAAAGCCAGGTGCAGAGTCATTGCACAGACGGTTCAAGGAATTGTAAGATTTTTAATTAGATCCAGATGTGACTATTTACAATAAAAAGAAAAATGTCAGTCCATACAATTCCACATTCAATTAAAAAGGAACTTAGTTTTTACAGAAAATGTACTCTTTCATATCTTCATTCCTGTAGCATTTAATCATAAACTAATATTCTGTGCTTAAAAAAATAGCAACCTATAATACTTTTATATTTAAAATTTCTTTTCAAATGAAAGGAAGACAGGATATACACAAGCATCAGTTAAACCTATATCAACCTGTACACAGCATAGAGAACTCTGTAAGCTACTGGCCAGACAACAATACAAGATAAAACACTTCTGCTTCTGTTTCAAAAGGTTCCAGCCAAAATGACTCCCTGTTGACCGTTTATACATTTTTAGATTATTTTTTTGATAAATCCCTGATCTACACGCACAGCAACTTACATTTCACTCTTAGTATAGACACTACTAGCACGACCTTATTCCAAATGGCTACAGAATGCATTGCATGTTTGATCTTTAAAGGGAAGTACAAAAACTCATAAAAAAAGTATAAATGAAGAGAGATTATCCAGATCCAATTACATTGGATTCTGTGTTGGCTCATGCAGTGGATTGCAGAAATTAGTGATATGAAAACCAGTATCCTATAGTCCGTTAGGCATTGGGTATGTTGGCACACATAAAAACCCCCAACAAGCCTCCTGACCGGCACCCTTTTTCTATATCTACATTGATGCTTAAATGGCCACCTCACATCACAACCATAAATACAGGCAAGCCAAAAAAAAAAAAAAAAAAAAAAAAAAAAAAAAAAA